AGTTGCCTCAGCCTCTTTTCAGAAGTCATGTGCCCCAGCCCGCAAACCATTTTCATTGCTCTCCCCTGGACTCTCTCCAACTTGTCCACATCCCTTCTATAGTAGGGGCACAAAACTGGACACAGTACTCCAGATGTGGCCTCACCAGGTCAGAATAGAGTGGAATAATTACTTCCCTCAATTTCTTGGCAATGCTCCTACTAATGCAGCCCACTATGCTGTTAGCCTTCTTGGCAACAAAGGCGCACCCTGACTCGTATCATCTTATTGTCCATTGTAACCCCCAGGTCCTTTTCCTGCAGTGCTGCTGCTTAGCCAGGCAGTTCCCAGGCTATAGCAGTGCACAGGATTCTTCTGTCCTAAATGCAAGACTTCGCACTTGCCCTTGTTGAACCTCATGGGATTTATTTTGGCCCAATCACTCTGAATCCTAGCCCTAAGCTCCAATATATCTACTACACCCCCCATCTTGGTGTCATCCACAAACCTGCTGAAAGTACAACCGATTCCTTCTTCCAGAGCATTAAAAATATTGAACCAAACCAGCCCCAGAACCAACCCCTGGGGGACTCCACTTGATACTGGCTGTCAGCTAGACATTGAGCCATTTATTACTACTCGTTGAACCCAACAATCCAGTCAGCTGTCTATCTGGCCTGTGCAAAGAGGCAAGTATTCAATTCAGATTTAGCTGATTTGGAGGGACAGTGATTCGAGTCACTGTCCCGATTCAATTTGGCTGAATTGGATTCAAAGATTCAGCACAAATTCAGAGATTCGGCTATAGACTAAACAGGCAGCAGTCCCCACCACATTGGATACAGCTGCCTCCAGCTGCTAAGTCTGTTGTGGTGGGTGGAGGGGGGAGGGTAGGAGCCGATCAACACCCCCACAGCAAGGGAGGAATTAGGGCTGGGACAAGGGCCGGACTGAGCACTGGACGGGCAGCGAAAGGCGCTGGGAGCAGGGGCTCTGCCCTGCTGCCGCTTGTCCAGCTGGAGGAGGTGGGGGCAGGCATGGGCACCAGATGCAGGCACAGCAGCACTGGGAGTGGGGGCTATGCCTTGCTGCCCCTTGCCCACCAGGGCTGGGGAGAGGGTGCGATGCAGGCGCGGCTTGCTCTGGGTGGAAGGCACTGGGAGTGGGGGCTATGCCTTCCCACTGCTGGCCCAGCTGGGGCAGGGAGGCACAAGATGGTGCCACTGCGCTGCCTCAGACAAGCGGCATGCAGTGGTAGAAGCCACTCCAGCCTCCCTGCACCTCCTGGACAAGCCACAGCTTCACCCCACCACAGCCCAGCTGGGCAAGCAGCAACAGGGCATGGGGGTGGGCATGCGCCCCCGGATTGGGGAGGGGCTGGTGGCAGGGGCTATGGGGAATTTTAGGGTGGCTGCAGCCCCCCCGTAGCCCTTGCTCTGCGGGGCAGGCGGAGCCAGGGCTGCAGCTGGGGCTAGCTGCCTGGAGCACAGCCCTGGCTCCACCCACCAAGGGGAGCACAGCCTGGCAGCCAGCAGCTGGGGCTAGCCTCCCAGAGCGCAGCCTGGCCTGGCCTGCCCTGTGCAGATCCGGAGGCACACGCCCACTCCCATGCCCTCCCAGACCAGTGGTGCACTGTGACCCAGAGTGGAAGGAGTCCCCCTCCCCAAGTCCCACATCCCTCCGCCCCGGCTAGGCAACTTGTCCCAGCCCCAGCCCCAATCCCTCCCTCGCTGTGGGGGCGTTGATCTGGCCCCCACACTCCTACCCTCCCCCCACTCCACCCACCACAACAGACTTACCAGCTGGAGGCAGCTGTATCCAGCATGGTTGAGGACTGCTGCCTGTTTAGTCTATGGCCAAATCTCCGAATTGGTGCCAAATCTCTCAGAATCAATTTGGAGGCTTTCAATTTGATTTGGACCTTTTAATGGGTCTCCTGATTCAATCTAGATTCTGAGATTCAGCTGCCAAATTGAGCCGAATCTCCTGAGAATTGAATCGACTAGCAAAGCTTCACACGGCCCTACTTTCTATCCACCTTACAGTCCATTCATCCAACCCATACTTCCTCAGCTTTCTTACAAGAACGCTGTGGGAGACAGTATTAAAAGCCTTGCTAAAAGTCAAGGTATATTATGTGTACTGTTTTCCATGCATCCACAGAAACAGTTCTCATAATAGAAGGCAATCAGGTTGGTCAGGCATGACTTGCCCTTGGTGAATCCATGCTCACTGTTCCTAATCACCACCTTCTCCTCCAAATGCGTAGAAATAGATTCTTTGAATATCTGCTCCATGATTTTTCTGGGGACTGAGGTGACATTGACTGGTCAGTAGTTCCCCCTGGATCCTTTTTCCCTTTCTTAAACATGGGCACAATATTTGCCCTTTTCCAATCGTCCGGAACCTCCCATGATAGCCACGAGTTTTCAGAGATACTGGTCAGCAGCTCTGCAATCACATCAGCCAACTCCCCCAGCACACACAGATGTGTTACATCCAGCCCCACAGATTTGTACACGTTCGTCTTGACAAATAGAGAACATCCTGGCAACTGGAGTACCTTCTTACATGGAAAAACATCACCAAGTATTTATGCATTTATCACAATTAGTAGGTTGTCCTTTTTAACAGTTAACTGCGTCATTTTCTTATGCTCTTCATTTCATTTTCTATCAGCTTTCCTTTCTTTCCCCATCTCTTACTTTGAAACAAGGGGTGCCTGTTCTCTTAATGAGAACATGCTTCCTTCCTTCTTCTCTCCACCCTTATCCACTGGGGCACCCTTTTAAGACGTTCTACAGGGATGCCTCGCTCTTATTCCCTGGTTATTTCTCGCTTGCTTGTCTGGCAGCTCCTGTCTTAAGAGCTCCTTTATGTCTATTATGAAGTATTAGAACCAAGTAAACATCACTAGGCTGGTGGCTCCTTATTTCCAAGGATTTTTTACAGTTCTCCAATGTCCCTCTTTGCAATAAAAAAATCCGGACAATTCAAAGAATTTCTGGAATCTAGAAGGAAAGTATCATATCACCAGTTCTGAGGACTAGTCATAGTCCTAGGCTGGGACTGTCAACTCCAAGTTTTATTATGAGTCCCATAATATTCAGCTGCATTTGTAAACCCCTGTAAATATGATGAGGGGCTGAGCTTTTTCTTTTTAATTAAGTAGTTTTCTAACCTTCATGGCTTCTGAAAGGGCTTTAAAACATGACTCAGGTGTTGTATGTGTATTCAAAATCCGGAAGGTAAACAAAAGGAACCTATTTTTAATTTCATGGTTGTTTAGGGCCTAGCTGAATGCTCAGGTTGGCAATGTCTTAACTAACAGAATTACAATTTGGGAACTGCTGATTAATAATATCTTATTTTGTTTCTTGTTTACTTGGAGAGATAAATTTACCTTCTGCTGGAAAAGCAAGTGCATTTACATTTATATACTATACATCCCTATCCATGATGTTGATGGTTAGTGATTTTAGAAACAATAGGTTACTGTTATAAAAAATATCTTTGTAGGTTTTTGTCTGTGTTTTCAATAAACAAATTCTCCCTGCCTTTTTTTTTTTTTTTTTTTTTTTAATATGTTTTATATTCCAGGCTCTCTCCCTGTTTTCCCTTTCACATTCCACTTCAAAAGACATATTGGAGTCTTTTCAGTTAAAGAATCATAGTCACCTTTGCTTCCCAACTGCAACCAGACTATTCAGCTTTATGTTGGCTAAAATGATGTTAATTGGCAGAGTTAAATTAGAGTTGTCAGTAAACAGTGATTACATACGCACATGCAAAAAGAACATTCCTGTGATACTAAACGTGAAGCTCCTTTGATCAGCTATACAAAACTCATATATATTCACTTTATCAAACATTTAGCACACCAAGTTCACTTTCACTATGCCTTGTGTTAAGAAGAAGCAGCTTATAAAATCTGTTAGGTTTACAGCTACTAAGAAGAACCTTCTCTTTAAATTCTTTTTGGGAAATTTTGGAACATTCCATAAATTCAGATAACTACAGCACATCATTTGAATTTTAAAATGAACCTTTGCTTCATTTTTATGCTCTCATATACTGATTATTTTAAGTGGAACAAACCTCACACTCTAACCTTAATGATTAGCTTTTGTTTCCATAGTTTGCTCAATTTCAGTTAGTAGTTCATAAGCTAAGTTAAGGATTTACAGAAGTTATGTCTAATGAATTCTGTAAAGTCCTCTATATTTCAACTGAAGTGGGGGAAAAAACCCTTTCTTTTTCTTGTATTGCCCTGCTTTTTAAAAAAGGCCTATCCTCTACTTACATTTTGATAGCACATTCAGCTTTCTACCAAGTTGATATATTTGACCTAAATCTCAGAGGCAGCAAAATAGTAATAGACTGATCATTTTTTTTAGTAATCAATGTAATTGATTTCAATCAATCTGCTCCAAACAGACTGAACTACTTGCTACTTGCTATCCTCTCAAAGTAATTTGCTTTGAAAAGCAAGGTGTTAGAAAGTCAGTGTTACATTCCACAAAGCATTTCCTATTTTTTCACATAAAATTACAAGTCTCCTTTTCCCCACAAATCCTTTTCTACAGTCACTTGATCTAGTGCAATTTATATTGTAAGACTTTCAATTATCAGATACATTACAGAACTGTGCAGAGAAGAGAGAAAAGGCACCATTACCTCATTTCTATCTCTCTGCTGCAGCCTGCAATATTTGTTTTAATTGGCAAAAATATTCAGGCTTGAAGGTTCCCTTATTTTCCATCAAGGTTACAAAATTAGGTCAGCCTTAAACTGCATGGGGCCAAATGTGATAGAAAGCAATGGTAAGTTAACTGTTAAGCACAGACAATCGTAACTTAACATGAATAAAAAGGTCCTCCTATCCCAAAAGAGCTTTGCTCAACTACAAAGTGCTTCAATTTTACACTACAACACATTTTGCTACTGACAAATATATCCTAATTTTAGTTGCATATTTTATTTCTGTTTTAAAGTGAATGTGATGAATGCGCTGTACTCACTCTGGCATTCTATGAACTGATGAATAAAAGTGCTGTCCCCTCCACTCTTTGAAAGAAAGTGCTCTAGTAAAGAAAGAAACACTTAAGTTTGCATTATCTTATCCTAGAATTGATGCACACTGAATTGTACATTAGTAATATTTCTTATTCTGTTGCAGAGAAATTTCAAGAAGCTGAGTCAGTTTAATATGCAAACAGACATGACCTATTCTTTTGAAATAATCAAGAAATCTTTTTGGAGACAGGCATATTGATTGTCCTTTAGACCTAGCTGGTGAAAATATTGTGAAAGTATATTTGAATTGAGATTACTCTTCATGCACAGCTACCTTTGAATACTAGTAAACTCTAAAGGAAGTTGTGGAATGAATGGAAAAGTACTTTACCTAAAGCAAAGCTACTGTTTTTGAAAAATCTTTGATAAATTTAGTAGCAACAATTAATTTGACCAAAAAACATTCTGCATCATTAGAACAGTTTAACTGGTGGCAAATGGCATCCACATCATTACCTTTAATCTCTAGTTATACCAAAAATATACAGCCAACTGTTCACCAATAACTTCTAAATTACAAATAAATTTAGAAGAAATAAAATGATACAATATTGGAAGGTCTCAAGGATTACGGTTTATTTCAGTATTCAGCCCCACAAACTGATGGTCCATCCTTTTCCTTTTAATTAGCTTAAAAATTAGAGCTGAATAATAAAATAGTACCAAATCCCAGTGCTAAGGCCTCTAGCACACACTGCATTCGTTGAGTGTTATGTAAGAATATCATGCAACAAATCATAACATGCCAACCGGTCACACGTTAAAATTATTACAGGATACTTTCACACCACAAAAGGTGCTGTTTAATGAGCAACTTTTTGTGTGTGGCCAACTTGCCATTTTTGTCCAGGAAAAAACAATTGGTTTAATGTCTAGCTTGTTAAGATTTGTTGCGTAATATTTGAAAATAACATGCAACAAATGTGTGTGCCAAGAGCCACAGGGATTAAGAAATCTTTTTACCATACTTTATTCTTAAGCTTTACATACTGTAGCTCTTGGAGTTTCTTAGCACTTTTATAGTACAAGCAATAATAATAATAATGATCATATAGCTTAAACCTTTAAAATAAACAAGACTTTTCAACTAACAAGTTGATCCAATGTAAAAAGAGCATACTGAGTGAAAGCTAACTTACATTGTGAACATTATCCTACTCGTAAATGACTCTACAATCTTAAGAGTTGACTCAAAAATTCCTGACCTGCAAGGACAAGTGTTTTGGCTCTTGAAGACAATACTTAGTGCTTATCTTCAAAAAAGGAGGTGTTATTGCATGTTTTTATATAACTTTTGATAAGATCACCACAATTTCACTGATGGATTAACTGGCAGAAAAGATTAAGCAGTTTTATCCAAGTTGATATATGAAGTCAGTATCAAAGGCTGAACAAACATGGTTCATTGAAAAGATAATTTAACTAGTTAAGTAATTTAGTTAAATTAGATAAATTAACTAATTTAACTAGTCACAAATTCTGTTCTCAGCTATACAACTGATTTACTGCTGACTCCAGCAAGTCCATAGGTTCATAGATGTTAGGGGTGGAAGGGACCTCAGTAGGTCATCGAGTCTGACCCCCTGCCCTGGGCAGGAAAAAGTGCTGGGGTCAGATGATATCGTCTGACCCCAGCTTGCCCTCTTTGGTAGCCCTCAGCCGTAAGGCCCCCAGAGGCAAGCCAGGGAGCAGTTTCCCATTTCCATAAAGCGGGCATAAAGCTAAGACCTTCGCACTCCAGCAGCTCAGTGGGAGGTTTACTGTACACTACCTCGGCAGGTCCTATCCCTGTGCCCAGTGCAGCTAGGAAGACGGTCCCCATGGTCACGGTGTGTCTCCTGCCAGGCAAGTGCAGACCAGGCTGGGTCTGAGCCCACAAGAGAGTATCAGGGGAGGAGGATCATTGTGGTCCTGGGGGCCCAGGAAACAGATAAGAAGCGAGGACTTTAGGTGCTGTGAGTTGGGTGGGTGTGCTGTTGGGAAGCTTCCCAGCATAAACACGCGTGTACGCCAGTGCAGAGGTCCGACTCGCAGGCGGGGGCTCATGGGCAGCCAGGAGGCGCTGAGCCCACGTGAGCCCTGGGACTGGAGCTGGCTCTGCGCTTCCCCCGGCTTGTCCCTGCCTCGGGGTGGGCTGGGCCAGGACATCTCGGCCATGGCGCTGCAGGGGCGGTGGGTGCTGGAGCTGGCGGGGCTGGCGCCCATACTACTGTGCGGCATGATCCTGGCCGACCACAGCACGTGCATGGAGCGCCCGGCCCTGGCCCCTGTCCCAGACGTTCAGGGCCGCGGGAAGTACTCGCTCCCACTCGACCTCAAGTGGTCACTTAACTTGACTGTGCCTTCCTTTCCCAAACTATAATGTGAGAGTATTAGTGATTACTCACTTTAATAAAATAAAGCACTTTGTGATAGAGATGAGAAGTTCCTGGTTTCTGAGATTACACTATTCCTCTTTCTGCACTGTGACCAAGGAGACCCTCACATGTAAAAATGCCACAGATATTATATTCCTTGCAGTAGTTAAAAGTAATCAACTGTATCGAGTTAAGTAAACTTTCAGGTACTGAACTTAGGATTTTAGGAATAACAAGACTCTGGGACCTTAAAAAAATGTTGCACCTAAAATATTTTACCTTCTTTTGTCCCAACTTATCAACTTACTTCTAAACTGTATGTCAAACATATAGCCAGAGGAAGAGCCACTCCATCTCGTCCAGCAGGCTATGCTGAGGCCAGAAAGACTGGAGCATGGCTAATGGTAGGTATGCCCTGCAACAAAATTTGAAGCCATTGGGCAGACACGTCCCTCACTCACTCTGCAGTAACTTGGCCCACTGCTGCTTTGAGCCACACTGACCACACCAAGTGGCTGCCTGTCCCAGGGTTGCTTGCCTTCCTGCCACCAGGGTGGCTACTGTGCTGTACCAGATCTGGCGCAGGGAACAAGGCAAGTTTGACCAGCATTGCCAGATGTATGCTAATAATCGTATTTGTACAATCATTTCAACCCTTCTATGATGTACAATAAATAACACTAGAAGTGATCAAAACGTACGATTATTTGATGCAGTTAATTGATGTAGCATATGAAAAACCCAAGTCACTCAAGGAGTCTCAACCAACTTTCAGGTTTGCCGTCAGCACTCTCTCATAACTGCTTGCCTCAGAATAAGGAAATGCTTCAGCTTTGATGACCCACTTCTCACTCGCTCATTGAGGATTTACAGTGAGCAATGTAAAGTAACTGCATAACAATCACATAACTAAATCTCATTATGTAATAATACTAAGCTTTATTTTAAATGCTATAGATGCTCTTAAATAAACAGAACAACAATATAAGGCAACCTGATGTTACTTAAAAAAGACTACTTATTTGCATACTCCCCCCCCCAGTGAAACTGGCTGTGTAAAGAGCCTGGCCATGCAACACTAACACCAGCATAATTTATATCAGCTTTAGACACCGAAGTAAATTACATCAGAAGAATGAGTGCACAGACAGTCAATTTTTATTCTAGGGTAGGTGTTATTTTAGCACATGACCACTAGATGACAAGGGTGCAGGTAATATAGCCTGTATGCCTACAGTGAAAAGTTGCCCTGCAATTAGATATCAGGAGGCACTACTTCACAGTCAGGGCAGCTAGGATCTGGAAACAACTTCCAAGGGAAGTGGTGCTTGCTCCTACCCTGGGGGTCTTTAAAAGGAGGCTAGACAGACACCTTGCCAGGGTCATTTGACGCCAGCATTCTTTCCTGCCCATGGCAGGGGGTCGGACTTGATGATCTGCTCAGGTCCCTTCTGACCCTACCAACTATGAAATTTAAGTGGATAGTAATTTGCTCGCTCAATTAACTGCTCTTTGTGACAAGGTGCTGTAATAGAGCCTACTGTGAACAGATGCCTCTGAGTCACCGCTTTTCTACCCGCTCTCAATACCCTGTAATCCATATGGGCATATAGCACATTTGTAAAGTACACTGGTAGAGGTATGTCATTTGACCAGATCCTTAGTCACAAAACAGACAAAGCATGAAAGAATGTAGAAGCGCAAGAAAGTATATTGTAATGGCTGCAAAAAAGGGAATGCATTAGGACAAAGATGCTCAACCCTGGCCCACAGGCCAGATCCAGCCTGCAGAGCCATGTCATTTGGCCCACGGGGTTCCCCACAGGTCTGTAAATCTGGCAGCAAGGGAGCAGTGCCACAGCTCTCCTGCTGCCTAATTTCCAGGCCCATAGGGCTGAGCGGGGCCAACACTGGGCCTCAATCCCAACATGCAAGAACCAGGCAAAGGCAGCACAAGGCATCCAGGGCCAGTACAGCAAGTGGGACAGATAAAGACTGATGCCAGGCCCCATGGCCTGATCCTGTTGTCCGGGGCTCCATCCAGCCTGTGGACTGGCCCTGGGCCATTAATCTGGCTCACACAGCCAAAAGGTTGAGCACCACTGTATTAGGACACAGGACACAAAACCACAAAGGAGTCAAAGAAATTCAGGGGGCATCAGAAAGAACAGGGGCACAGGAGAACATGGTATAAGACAGGGAAAATGGGAAGGGAAGGAGACCTGTTGAAGAGGGTAGGGAATATGCAAGCACAGTGAATAATAAGAGATGACAATATGGTAACCTTAGTGGGAGAACAAACAGGCCAGTTGCTAGCTTGTTAGTCTAGTGAGTGGTAGAGAGAGAGAGAGAAAGAAAAGTTGGGGTTTTTTTTAAGTTTAATTTACCATTATATTTGGGGGCCTGCTGCTTAAGCTTTGAATAGTCAGAGATGGCAATACTGTTATTACAACAATAGAGAACAAATTTTCTTTTTTTTTCTAATGTAAATATAACTTTCAATATCACAAAAATTGCTATGGGTGCGGTACCTAGAGCTATTACTAATTAGGGATAATTCCTGAAACTAAAGTTAAATTTGTGAAACACTGGATTTCAATGCAATGGATATTCTGATGCCTATATGCTTTATTTTCTTTTTAAACAAAGAATCCAGTATCCTTTTTTGAATAAATATTTCAGTTTTCCTCAAACACTATTATTTACTGAAGAGGAGGAGGGAGTGAAAGGGTCCTGCCCCTTGATATTTTCCTATTATCAAGAAAATGTAAGATTAAAAAGAAGATTCATAGTGCACCAAAATGTTTCTACATAAAACTTCACAATGTCTAGTGGCACAATTTTATGAGAAAGAACATGGCATTTCACTACAAAAAATATGAACACATCTTCTCATATAGAAAATACAAATCTATCACTTTGGAAATTGAAAACAAATCTATTTTGAAAAAATTCTTAAAAGTTTATTAAAGTTATCACTATGCTAAGTAAATATACATTCAATCTACTGTTTAGGTGAGTAGCTCAGAGAAACATTGTATGCAGTAGACATTAGACCTCTTTCTTCCCAATGTTAACATGAATCACTGTTAAATGCTTGGAATGCCATGGAGGTTAGCAGACATGACTAGTACTCAACTTAGGGGATTTTACAGCTTCTCTCAGTATTTAATCAACCTCTTCTTTCTATAGCAAAGAAATATGAGGGCTGACAAAGGCATCCAGCAGTATTTAGGTTAACTATTTATTTTCTTCACAAGTTAGCCAGAACCATGAAACATCAACAGAAGTTCCTTCTGCTGCCCAATTAGAGTAAAATGCAGCAAGAAATCTTTTAGTGAAAAAAAAATTGAGCATAAATTGAGAATCTGTAGTTGTAGAATGTAGAAACAGTTTGGAGAAATTCAGAAGACTGGAACAGTACTTGCCTGGAATAGGGGGGCAATGTTAAGCATGAGAAAGGGAGAATGCATGCTTGGAAAGTGAAGAGATTTATTGTCAAACAAGCCTGCATACTAGGGGTATGCAAAACAGGCCATGTTTGATTTGGCCGGAATCGGGAAAAGCGATTCAACTTGCTGATTTGGATCACTGTCCCAACTGGGCCGAATCCGAATCTGAAGATTCGATGCTGATTTGGAGAATCAGCGATTCGGCCATAGACACAGCTTTAAATGTTTTTTCTACGTACCTCGAGATACCAGGCGTGGCTCATGAACGCTGTGATGCTGGGGCAGATGGGGTGTCCCACAGGAGCGCGGGGGAGCCCCCCCCATGTGCTTGGCAGTGAACCCCAAAGTGGTTCCAGGTCTGCCACTGAGTGCACAGGGCGCTCCCCCCACCCCCGCATCCCTCCCTGGCTCTGCAATCAGCCGTAGGGAGACCCCAGGTTCCACCCCCAGACCCAGGAGGCACCAGTCACCAAGCTGGGGAGCAGGGTCCCTCACATGCTCCCTGGCAGACCCAGAACTGGACCAGAAGTGCTTGTGGTCCACTTCCAGGTCCGCTGCCAAGCTCCCATGGGATGCTCCATCCACTCCAGCATCTCAGCACTCACGAGCCACCTGGTACCTTGAGGTAGGTAGAAAAAACATTTAAAGCTGTGTCTATAGCCGAATCATTGAATCTTTCTGAACCTCTCCGAATCATTTCAGAGGGTTCCAGTTTGATTCAGATATTAAAGGGTCTCCTGATTAGATTCAGATTTGGAGATTCAGCTGCTGAAGTGGGCCAAATTTCTGCCGAATCAAATCAGCAACTGAAGCTTTGCACAGCCCTACTGGATGACAAATTTATGACAAATAATTTATGTGCAATGAAAATAAAAGGTCCAAAAAGTAAACTTCATAGAAAAAAAAATCATTTGGTTCAGGGCACTTATGATCATTTTTAAAAGAACACTTAATTAAAATATCAGGTGTCAGTTTATTTATGAAGATTAGTGACCAAGCACAATAATTCCAATGATAAGCCTTAAAACAGCAGAGAAAAGAACACCTTAAAGGGTTTTTGGCCCACACCAAAATAAGTTATTTTAAATTCTCTTTAGTGTAAAAATATTTTCTATTTTAGTATAATTTAGAATATGTTTTCAAAATACAAATTCTACAGCATAAAATTCTATTAAATTGGGATTCTTACCATATACAATAACATGCACATAGGAAGAAAGACAAGCGTATAATTAAACTAGATCATTCAAAAGGTTTATTGCATATAATTCAGAGGGATATTAGCAGGACAAAGATAAGTTTATATTTGTTTTTTAAAACAACAGATATATGTATCTGCTTATTAGAATTGTAGATAAAGTTCTGCTTGAGTTTCCAAAATTTGATTTAGTTTATGCTGTTTAGATATTTATACTTTATATTTAAAATATTATACTTATATCTATAAAGTATAATAATATTATACTTTCTTAATTTCTTTCTTTAGTTAAAAAGAACCCAACAGGAAATATAAAACAAAACCAAAAAAACCTTGAATGATAAATAGAATTTGAGCAATTTCAGACAATAACCAGAAGAAAAAAGGTAGTCTATTTTTATACACTACCTTTTTCTGTGCTCCCATTAATTTTAGGTATGAAGTCATCAACTTGTATGCCTAGGATTGAGAAAGGGTATTATTTCTGGAACCAAAAAAAGTGGTTTTTTTTTCTTTTTTAGTATACAGCATTATGGAATTTAGCTGGCTCTCCCAGCTGTTTTATCTCAAGTATCCAAGTAGTAACACCAAACAAGCATGTTATGCCCCATAATGAAATTTTAGACGAGCATCCCGCATCACATACTCTATTTCATTGATCAAATGTACAGAAAAACAACCACCTCCCAAAACCTACTGTCTATTACATAAAGGTCCTCTTTTTTAACTTTTTTTTGGTACAAACACTATTGAGCTCTGAAAAAAGTGAAGGACAAAAGTTAGTCTGGATAAACATTTTAAAGTAGCAGCACCCTCTGCTGGCAATTGTTACATCCATGCTTATTTAAATTTTAACAAGTGATATTAAAATGAATTCAACAATTAAAGAGAAAGAGCCACTGAATGTGTAACCTGAAACTCTTTTTTCTAACTGTCAGAAGTACCTGGAATATAGCGTTATAATAATAATAAATAGAGTAAAGTGAGGAAATCCAGCTTTAAACAAAAACCATTAATATTACACCTACCTAAACTGTTGTGTTCTTTAAGAGTTTTCTCTTGAAGATGTTCTAACCGTACTGTAAACAGAATTCCAAGAAAAAGATATTTCACAGATTAAAAGAAAAATAAATAAACAAAACATTTTTTGACTAGCGACTAACCTTGTAAAGCAGTTAGCCGTTCATTGGTGAAGTCACTGTCAGCTTGCAAAGCTTCTATTTTTGCCTGAAGTTCTTGTTCTCTCTCTTCCATTTCATCTACTTTATGTTGCAATTCTTTTTTCTCAGCCAGGCCCTTCTGCTGGATTTCTTCTTGTTTTCCTTCTGCAACCTACTCAAAAAAAAAAATAAAAAATCAATTGTCCATTTAAAAAGAATTAATTACATTTTCCCATAAATATTCAGGAGTGACTTCCTTATTCACCACCATTAGAAACATTCAAATACTTGTGTAACTTTTCTAAAACTCATTTCCAGTAATAAAAACTCACAGAGACCTCCTGTTTTCACAATATGAAGCTGTGTTTTTTCCCCAATTCCAGGGCTCTAAACCCTACAGGCTTTTTTCACCCAGATACACCTTGCTTGGAACACAACAGAGAAAACAACATGACAGAGCAATATTTACAATTTTAACTAAGTTTATCATTTAAAAGATCAAACATCTCAGTTTTACTGGACCAGTATGAATGTTCAAGAACTTTCTACAACACCGTAAGCACTTCTTGGTTCACCAGCCAAAAGAGTTGGATTTGTCAAACAGGATAGAATGGCCACTGACAAATGTGATAGAAATGTGTGTGGCTTCTTCCTTGTTAATTTAAAAAGAAAAGCTGTCATGATGGCAACAGACAAAATAAAAGAAAGTTTTGAAAGATTTTTCTCCATATCCTTAAAAAAAAAAAAAGCTGTAACCCCGATCCTTATTTAACAAATCGTTCAACATCAACAGTAAAATTATATTTGTGAAACCAATACTCTAACATTCCAGGTCCAGATGCTAATGATCAGTATGCATTCTACTTTTATTTTAGAAGATAAGTTTACAGTTGCTAATGTGGGCTATTTTGGTTTTTGATCGCCAACATAACTTTTCTAATGTAGTGATCACTGTTTCAAGAATCTGTAAAAGCAATTTACTTTTTTAGTTTGAGAGAAAAAGTGGTTCTGGCTCAGATCCTTTACTAAGATTCAAGAAACCCGAGTTACAAGTCCAAAACCGTGTCTGACAACTCTGACAGTCTCAATCTCTTTGCCAGTTCTGAAAACATAGAGATACTTATCCTTCTTCCTTCTTTTCTTCATCGCTCCCACACATTCAACATTGCAAGCTCTTTGGGTGTGGACTTTTTCTTACAATTAGTTAGGGTTACCACAAAGGAGGTTTAAAATTAAACAGGAGGAAGGGAGTTTCTTTTAGGATACTTTTTATTGCACATGGAGGGCATTTTGTACCCAAAAGCTTATTCAAAAGTTCTCCCACCTATATAATCTATCCAATAAAAGATATCACTAAAACAAACCCTTCTCTCGCCTATGTAACCATCACTGTCCAGGAAAAAGAACTCCGCTCCTATGACAGGGAAGTTATCGAAATCTGCTATTTATAGTGAAAATCCACAACATGAAGAAAGAATCCAGGCTACACAGTGACTTCTACTTCCTCAATTTGTGCAAGAAATGTAACATTATCCCTAGAGGACTTACTATCTGCAAGCCTTAGGCTAATACACACAACTCCAAATATGCAACATAGGACATCAGAAAAAAAAAATGAAGCACCACCTTCCTCTCCTCACCTAACCTACTGCAAAAAAGACAGCAGACTTGAAGCACGCTTTTGGCCTGAAAGCTTGTCCAAAGTCTCTCCCAACTATACAGGCAGTTTAATAACAATAAAATTTTGCCCCAGCCACCCACACTGCACATGGTTTAATGTGCAACGTGTGCAATTTGTGGTACCACAAAGAGGTTTGGGCAGCACCACAAACTGCACGTACCTGCATGTCAGGATCCAGCTCATGAGCCTATATATTATGTGTTATTTCATTCTAGTTGCCATTGCACAGAGATGCATCATGAAATAGCAAAGTCTGGCTCTTTAATTCTGTTCAGTTTGTATTTCCTATAACTGTAAGAAAGGCTTACATCAAATAGTTATTTAAGCAAATAAAAAAGTAGAAGAAGAAACAACCCCTTTTCTTTAAATCATCTCAAAGGAAGTTTCTTTTCAGAAGATTTCAGGTACGTTTAACTAAAACAAAGAATACAGGGGTTAAGGAGCTTGAGGTATGTATTTCTCCATTTATCTGTTGTTAGTTTAAGCAAATTTTTCTGTACCTTAAATACATGTGACTGTACTTAAATACATGTACTGCTTCCATTGTAGCTTTGCAGTTAGTTATTATATAAGAGGTCTGTCCTTACCTTTAGTTTGTCAGAGAGGTCTTTAATTTCATTTACAGCTCCATTGTACTTATTGGCTAATTCTCTCAATTCTTCCTGAGTCCGCTCATTCATTTCTTTCAGGTGAGTACATTCATCTTCAGTGTTACTTAAACTTCGCTGTAAAGAAGGAATTACTGTATATAATTGTCAAAAATATTTTAAAGTATATGGATAGTCATGTGAGTAATCAGTTACAATGACTTCTTTCAAATGCTTGTAAAATGCCTCAGTTTCTAATTTCTGGCAGTAATTGTAACATTAAAATCACTTTTTTTCCTATAATTTTCTATAAAAGCCAAATGGATATGTAACATGTTGCCAAAATATAACCTATATTAATAGCCTCTGCAAGAGGAATCACATGTTAAGTGGAGCGACATGAACTATCTGTGTATAAAAAAGAATTACAGTATGTTTTGGAAATAATTACGATTGCTAGCAATAAAGAAGGGAGGAAAATGTTCCTTTTCTTGGTTCACACATAGATCTCCTTTAACAACAATGTAGCTTTGCAATCCTCTATGGAAGCGAGTATTTACTGTAGAGTCCAGACACACTTTCATTTGGGATAAAGATTGTTTAATATATTTTATAGATCACACAGTTACAAGTAAATTTGTTACTTGCAACTAGATTGTATAACATAAATCAAAATCTATGCTAAGATTTCTTGGATAACTACATTATCAAAGTGATTAAACCACCTATTTCAAAACAAATGATTTAACTATACATAATCTACACAGTGATGGAGGACTCAGACTGGCACTGACTTGGTAGGTGGAGGATATACACAAAGCCAAGCTAGGGTTTAAATACATGTTCTCTCTTTGAGAGACCAACCCAGGAAATAAACACCCTATGGATGTGTCCCATATTAAGAGTTCTGACTATTACAGAATCAAGTACGAAGAGGCACACTTGATGCAGCAGCCACTACAATATTTGACAAACTTATCCTGAAAAGCTGCAAAATTAAAGCAGCAAAAGATAAGCATATTAATATCTTCAGTCTCATAGATTATGTCACCTTTAAACTGAATAGTACTTTGCATAAATGATGAATTGAGTATTACCAAACATCTACTGATCTAAGGACTATGCTTGAAAATATATATGCATATGTGCAACTTTCCTCATACTACTAAAGTCAATGAGGCTACTTACAGTAGCAGAAGCTATTCTTTGTAACAAGCTAATCTAGGATATGAAGATAAAGACAAATTAAGAAAAGCAGAAAAGCAGATTAGAAGGTGAGCTTAATTACAGCAAATAGTGTTTAACATCTTTTTTTTTTAAAAAGAGAAAGGAATTGAGCAAGAGGGAAGAAACAGCAAAGGAGCAGAAGTCACTGGTGAAACAGAAAAGAAGTCAGTTGGCTGAGGATGGATTTGAAGAAATGGAATGAGAACCAGCTGTTGGACTGCATCTAATAATTTAATTTTAGCTACATTCTAAACTGCTTAAGCATGCCGAGCCAAATACGTTTTAGAAATCTTATTTAAAACCAGTCAACCTCCATATTTCATACAATATACTAGTTTCAACATGAAACATGAAAACCCTGAAAAACAAAGTTTATGGCACATTATAACCTGCCTGCCATTTGATAACCCCAGGTAACCTGCCTGCATTTCACCAGCTACCTTCTATCATGTTCTACATTTCCACTCCCATCCCCCCTCACCTGTCTCACACTGTCTCCCATTCCCTCTGATCCTCACTGCCATGCACGTGCATTTTCAGACCTGCATTTTGCACATCGGCTTCTAGTCTACTATGAAAAACACAACACATTTCAGGCATTCTCCCTATGCCTGAAATGTTTGTGCCCCAAAGCTTGCAAAGAACTTTTTTTCCATCTATTTAGCCATCTTGTGTGCATACCAGCCCAGCCTCTGACTTCTTTATTTTTCATTTAATCCAGAAAGAGCACACACCAACTGCTGAAACTTGCTCAGCCTGACGAAGGGTTTTTGAACCCAAAAGCTTGCTTAAAAATTGTTTTCCAACTATTTAAGTTGGTCTAATAAAAGATATCAGATTCACCCAAAGAACCTTGTCTATGTCCTTAGACCAACACAGCTACAACCTACACCCCTGTAATAAAAGTGAGGGGCACCCACATTTACCCAAAGAACTGTGTCTGCCTATCTGGGGTTACCATATTTCCAGGTCCAAAAAAGAAGACACCTGCTGGGCAGAAGGGGTGGGGGGGAGGGGCAGCGACATGCCGGTGCCCTGCCCCTGCCCATTCTGTTGCCCTTCACTGACAAGCCACAGTCCCCCAAGCCCTGCCAATGACCCCCACTCCCAAACAGCAGTAGTCTGCCCCCCACCCCCTTGCTGGTGCCCCTCACTCCCAACCCACAGCCCCCTGGCACTGCCAGTGCCCTGCACACCCAACCCAGTCACCTGTCCTGTGCCCCTCATTCCTGATCTGCAGCCGCTGCCCCCCTGGCAGCCCTACTGGTGCCCCTCACTCCTGACCCGTAGCTCCTGCCCCCCTGCCAGCCCCTCACTCCTGACCCACAACCCCCTGCCCCCCCAGCCCTGCCGGTGCCCCTCACTCCTGACCCACATACCCCTGCCCCCAGCCCTGCTAGTGCCCCTCACTCCTGACCCGCAGACCCCTGCCCTACTGGTGCCCCTCACTCCCAACTCGCAGCATCTGGCCCCCAAGCAGCTCTGGCGTTGTGCGGTCTCTCTCTCCCTGGAGCCCACACAGGGAGCACATGATCCCTGACAGCCAATCCCCAAGTGGCTAGCCCAGGAGGGCAGAGGAACAGGCAAAAACCCAGAAAATTGTCTCTTATTTTAAAAACCTGCCCGGACACAGCGCAGGGGGCCAGAAAACAGGACATGTCCAGGAAAACCCAGATGTATGGTAACCCTACTTATGTCTTTAGACCAACACAGATACAACTGAAAAATAGGAAGCTTAGTTATCAAGTTCTTCTCACTTGCTCAATATGCCAGAGACTGACTACTAGGAAAAATATGCATCCACAACACTTCCTAACAAACTGTACCTGATCTATGAATATAAACACTATCACACACTGGTGCAGTGTAGATGCCAGACAAGCTTGAAAGACTAGCAGTTAGAAAGACTTAAAAGGTCCTACGAAAGTGGTCATAAAATAAAATCCAAATACCTCCACTTCAGAGAGCTTTCTGACCACTTCAATTTTCTCCTGTAGGACCCGCCTCAGGGACTCTTTGGCTGTTGTCTCATAATTGTGTTTGTCTTCCTGTAATGCTATAAGTTCCTTTCGTATACTGTCTTCTGTTTGATTCTGTAAATAGCAATATAGAAGATAGTTAGGATAACTCTCAAAGCAGCAACTCCTAAAATAGGTTAACAGTTTGATATGTATACAAAAAATATTCACATTAAATTTTCATCAAGACCTAGTCTGTCAAGGACTGCAAAACAATTTGGGCTATGGTAACAAAACAATAAGGAAAATAAAATATTTAGAGCTATTGGTTTGACTTGGTATAATCTAGTACAGGATTTCAAGTATTTAGAGTAGAAAAATCTCTAGAACTAGTTTTGATTATAACAAGAATTCAAACAAAATCTGTGTATTCCAACTGATGCACTAGCAGTGCTGTGCCTAACTCTCCAGACCTCCAATTTGATATGTTAGCATAGTGGTTCTCAATCGTTTTTTAAATTTGCTGTGTGTCATGGATTATAAAGAAGTAATGCTATTGTACTGCTATGTCATTACACTACAACAACTGTAAACTCTCTACTCTTTCATTTGCATTTTCCCCTCATTTATATTTCCCCTTTTCTATCTTCTGTTTTCTCATTCCTTCCCTTTGTGTCACCTCTAGCAGCTCTGCACATACTCCAGTTTAAGGAAGTTTACTTGTCCCATTGTACTAGAAAACTGACAGGTCCTAATCTCAGAGGCCTGATGGAGGATACGATCTCAAAGGATTCTTTATGATTTACGTTATGAAAAAGAAAAGAATCAATAAATTCCTTTCAGGGTACTAGTAATCTGCAGCATGCTTCTGCTTCTCTCTCTAAAATCTCAAGCACCATGCTCATCATGCGTTATTTTACATTTAAAAATGTGCATCCACAGGGAATACGGTATAAGATGTCAGCATACACTACTGCAAGAAACAATTAAAACTAGATTATCTATAAAACTGATAAACGCTGAAAACACAACTGTCTAAACTAGATTTAGTTTCCTTATGTGTTTTTGGCATCTTAATAGATCCCAGGAAAAACAATTACGAACAATTGTAACCAAAAAAATTTCCAGTTTAACTTAAGGTTCATCAACAATTATTTAATGAAACGGTTCAGTGTGAACCTTTGCAAACCCCATTTGAAATTTCAAAACTGCACTGAAAGTTTAGTTTAGTATCACTATTTCACTTTAAAATGGTTCCAGAGGATTGTGGTTCAGTATTTCTAAAAACTATACAACCAATCCAAAAAAACTGACATACTTTTGAACAAGCTTGTAATTGGTTTCCCATAACCTCTAGCCTTGATAGCAGCCTGTCTTCATCTATTAAAGCCTGTTGGAAAAAGTAATACATTCAAGTTAAGAGAGCATATTTTACAAAGCAAAAAACCCCAACAGTGAGCATCTCAAGAATGCTCATAACAATAACATTTTGAAAAAGATGCAGAAATTCCCTTGGAAACCTTCAGTTTACTGGATTGATTAAAAGCAATGGTTAGTTCTAACATAGATGTTCACCATGTTACTTCATCAATTAAAAATGTTGTCTCTTAAACCAAGTTGGAAAGAGCCAGCTTTAAGCCTTCCGTCATTTTGCTTTAATTTTTCCTAGTTAAAATTAGTTATAAATTGGCAGCAATGATTTATAGTCCATGTATATTAATTCCTTCAGGGATAAAAATGAAAAGGAAGCATGCAGATACCTGCCAACTAGTATCTGAAGCTTCCTGCGTGACAGCAAGCAGTCGCTGAAGGGTGGCCAACTTCTGTTCCAACATTTGTTCCCGATGTAAGGCTTCCTATGATGAACACACAAACCAACAGTTTAGTTTTAATTTAGAATAACAGAAACAAATGGAGAAGATATCAAAACACTGTTAAATTCAAAAGGGGGAAAAAGATTGGCAGACAATATAAATTGTATGTTCAAACATTATTTAAAATTATGGCAAAATGAGAGCATTTATATTCATTTTATTTATACTTATTTCTGAGGATGAGCAAACTGAAAGATGTTGGCCAACAAGATTATATTCTTAAGGGTTTCAGTTTCAAATCACTACCACATGTATGGTAAATATATTCTGTGACAAAGAATGAATAAATTATTCCTATGATTTTAACAATTGCAGGCAAAGTCCTATTAAAAGTGACTGAGAGTTAATGCTGGAACTAGAGGAACAGAAATTGATTTCTCTTTTTCAGAAGTGAATTTTTACAACAAAGTTAAAATTATATTCCAAGTACATGCTTTAGAAAAAAGTTAGGTTACATTAATAAGTAACAGGCGTTAACTTCTAGTCCAGCCCATACTCATAAGGGAAACAGTAATAATATCACTGCATTTTGTTATTTACTCTTATCATGCAGATGAGTTCATGCTGGGATCTAAAATGATGCAAAAAGAAAAAGCAAATCCACAGAAAAGTTATATTTTTATATTAGACCTGTGCCAGAATTTCTTAAGTTGACAGTTGGTAGCAAGGGCTGTCCAAAGCTTCAGTAGCCGATTTGATTCGGAGGAGATTTGGCCCGATTCGGGGACTGAATCTCTGAATCGAATCAGGAGACCAATTAAAAGCTCCAAACAGATTCGAAGCATCTGAAACAATTCAGAAAAGCTTTCGAAAAGATTCGGCCATAGACTAAACAGGCAGCTGATACAGCTGCCTCCAGCTAGTAAATCTGTTGGGGTTGGCAGAGTGGGGAGAGAACGGGATGTGGGGGAGGGAGGGGTTGGGGCTGGGACAAGCTGCCCAGCCAGGGAAGGCGGGCCACATTACTCAGGAAGGGGAGGGGGGGCAAGGGATGCAGGCAAGTCAGTGCTGGTAGCAGGGACTCTGCCCTGCTGCCGCTTGGCCAGCCAGGGCGGGGTGTGGTGCAGGATGCAGGCGCGGCTCACTCCAGAAGGGAGCAAGCAGTAGCATGGGCAAGTGGCAGGAGGGCATAGCCCCCACAGCTCCCCCCACCCAGGGAGATGTAGGCACAGCCAGAGGAGCTGTGGTAGAAGCCTCCATAGCGGCCCTGCCCGGCCTCAGCTTCTGCCCAGTCGAGCCTCTCAGCACTTAAAAATAAAAAGCCGATACACACAGGTTCTGGCAACAGCCATTGGGGCCTCTGAGGGTTCATGGCAGAGCCCTGCCACACAGCATGAGGCAGTGGGGGGCAGTGAACATCCCTCTCCCTGCAGCCGCAGCCTGCACAGGCGCAGTGTGGCTTGGTAGGGTGCCGTGCGCTCTCTGGGAGCTGGGGTGGCTCCACCTGCCAACTGGAGTCTGGCAGCACTCAGCCCTAGCCGCCTCAGCTCCCAGACTGCGCATGGCGCCCTGCTGAGCTGCGCTGCTCCTGCACCTGCACGATGCGACAGCTGTTGTGCGGGTGCCAGGTGGGGGGAGAGGGTGATCCCTGCTGCCCCCCACAGCTCTGGCACGAGCTCCCAGAGGCCCCAATTGCCGCTGCCAATCCAGAGTATGAGGGTTTTGTTTTGTTTTTTGGAGGTTTTTTTGTTTTTGTTTTTTTTTTTTTTAAGTGCCAGGACTAGGCTGGGGCCAGGCAGGGCAGCCATGGGGATTTCTCCTGCATCTTCCCAGCCTGGGGAGAAGCAGGCACAGCTGTCTGGCTGCGCCTGCCTCTTCCTGGCTGATCCGAATCACCAAATCTTACTGAATCAGCGCCAAATATTCTGAAGCTGATTCAGCCAAATCGAATCAAGACAGTGATCCAAATCGAATCAATGTCCTCTGAATCTGCTGAATCCAAAATCTAATCAAACACTTCCCTATTCATACAGGCACCTCCAGTAGATAGCACTGTCTTCAAAAATATTCCTGAAGAAACCATTGTTATTTTGTTTAACCTTTTATTAAAAGGTTACCTCTTGTAAGGAGCAAATTCTGTTGGTCCTCTCTATAGTTACCATACAACATTATCAAGCAGAATGTCCAACAGAGATTTAGCTATGACCATGCAGATTTTTAAAATTTCACAAATGACAAGCCTGCACAAATGACCATTGGATGTCCAAGTGACCCTTTTTACATTATCATCAGAATTGCATGGAAATTACTCTTGAACATTTTAAAATCTGGATTTATTGCATAATGTTCCCCTCTTCTAGTAAAATATGTATTTCCTAATTTGGGTTATTTTCATTTTATTCAGAAGTAATGAGAGTTCAGTGTTGTGTTCAGCGTACTGTAACAGAAATGTACATCATGGTAGCAGACTACAACTTGGATCATCTCCCCAGGCAGTTCATTTATTCATGACAAATTTTGATTTATAGCAGTATATAGGTAGGTAATATTTTACATATTGTTGTATATAAGCATAATATTATACTTGTATAAAAGATTGTGTGTATGGTTGTAAAATAATGTTTTCAAGAATAAAAATATGGAAGTACAGTATTGTGTTTCCACCCTCTAATGACAAACAAATAAGAAACTCTTTCAAAAAGAGCCTTGATAGAAACATCTAAGCATTAACACAATGCAACAGTGATAGACGCTACACATATACAATGAAGGGTCACAGTCCCTGCCTTAGTCAAGGTAAACAAGATATAAATGGGACAAGTAAACTAAAAACAAATAAGGTAAAGTTGTGTGTAAATGGAAAGTACACAGTTCACAAGTTATATTCAGAGAGACATTTATTCCACATACACGCTCTAAAAAGATTTATACTGACACTATGGGCATGTCTACACCTGCACTGTGCTCTCAGGAAGGATGCTCCTGAGTATATCTTGCCTATCTGCTCCTGGTTAAAACACACCAAATTGAGAAATGCAGCAGCAAAACTACCCTGGGGGCATCCCCCTACCACTCTCCGGTAAGCCAGAACCAAGGATCTCGTGTGGCTGGGGGAGCTCCCTCAGATCAGCTTCCTTACTGTCCCCTTCCAGGTTTGATGCCTGTGAGCAGAAGCAGATAAGTGGGGTATGCTCAGCAGCATGCCTTCTCATCTACATCACATAACCAGTGTAGATACACCTACATGTGTTTCATTTGGTGGCTCCTGTGTTGAGGTCCCTCAGTAAATGAAACTATCATTTCTAGGGTGATAGATTTGACCTATCTAAGCTGTTAAACCTGTCAAGCATCCAATCCTGTGAAGGAAATTCAAGGGTTAAGTAGTCCAACGCCAAGTTTAAAATGAGCAGAAAGAAAGTACACAAAACAAGGTGAACTCCATGAAGACACAGGTCTCATTACTGAAGAACTAAGCTTGGAGAAGGAAATTAACTCTTGGCCTGGTAAACAGCTTCCTTTGTGGTAATTTCCACCCCAAAACTTGGATTCCTATAGTAAGGAAACAGGAATGAAAATGTTAAAGAAGGGGGAAAACAAAGGTAAAAATTTTAACTAAGCATCAGGAAAGTGCTGGTTTTATAACTGGATGCTAAAACAGGAAATAATAAAATACTGTAATGTATTTAACAAACCCAAGGAGACTCATTACTCTAAACAAGGAGTAATTGTTCAAGACAAAAGTAAAACCAACATACATGAAAGATACATCAGGGCTTAAGTGCTCTGCAGAAACCCCTCTCTCAGCATATTTACAGTTGACATCTTGCCTAATTGGATTATAATAAATTCACATGAAAAGAAGAGAAGTGAAAAGTCGGCCTATTTGTGTAACTAGAAATTAAATGATCTAATAAGTTAGTACAGCCACTAGGGGGTGCCATTTAACCTCCTCTAATCAATTAAGTTTGGAGCATACGCTGTTATATCTTAAGAGTGTACCACAAACCCAGAAATTATTTTTGACTGACTCAGATTTCCAAAGCATCTGCAAGGACAATTAACATAACTATCTGTATGTATGCACATTTGCAGGACAAAGTATGCTCATAAAATCAATACATGAAATAATTACCAAGACCTGTAATGTAACTCCATTTCTGGAAAGTTTATTCTTATGACGAGAGTAGTTTTTGAGAACAAAATTTAGAAGTCTTATGCTTTAAGGAGATTAGTTATTCTGTAAAAAAATCTTAATGCATTATCTTTAACTGGATTTGCAGTATTCACAAAATTTAACAGGAATTATCTAAATCTTCTCTGTAGATATTGAAGACATTTGCTAGGTAAACCCTAATACTGAAGATGAAATTGTTCAGAAATTATATAGTTCAGTGGTTCTGTTAGAAATTGTTCAAAAGTTATATGGTTTAGTTAGTGGTTCTGCTAATCAAATGATATTGCTTCACATTACAGGTCCAAGTCTTCTGTTTTTAGGCATGCAAAGGCAATATAGTCAATTCCCACAGGAAAGGAGTATTACATTTCAATGAGCTAATTAAGAAGCAATGGCAATTATTTCCAAAGTGAGACCAACCAAGTTATTCTTGGGTGCAAAGGCAATGTCACTGAGCCTACTTAGTAGCATGTACATTGAAGTTGGGCTATAAAACAGGATTCCAACATTTTAGCAGAGACCAGATGATGTTCTCTTCCCTTTGGCAGGATTCTTCAGAACTATTTGAAGACCCACTTTAACGGCTTGGATCTTGCATAAATATAGCTTGGTATAAAAAAAGGGTGGGGGGGGAGGAATACATCTTGTTACTCCTAGCATTTAAAAGTTTTGCTCACTAGAAAAATCATAAGCAAAACTTCATGCAACTTGGTTGAATTAGCAGTACTCCTAAAAATCAGCCCACCTGGAAGGATAATCAAAGGTGTTTCCCAAAGTGCCATTTGGAAAACAGACAGACTAGCAATAAAGTAGCATCAGGATTTAATGGATTATTTGAAGATTAAGCACAGCGTAAACAAAATGATAA